ACAGGCTGATAAATCAAGCTAGCTAACGTGTTCTATCAATCTACCCAGTAAACTATATTACCTTAGATACCCATCTAATAAGCTAGCTAGCAAATGTTAGCTATCTAGCTAGCTATCGCCAGATTTCTGGCTCTCGTAAATAAAATTGGAATTATTATTTAACACCCTATGGTTAGATTTGCGGACCTGTATCTACCATTCAGGCAGTGGGAGTCATTTAAAAAACATTGTTGAAGTCTTTTTTTAAAAACAGACGAGGAACTCTTATACAGCCAGCGGCTCCTCACAGCTCCATACATCCCTGTTTATTCTGAATTAAATGTTTATTTATTTATTTTCTGTTATTACTTATTAACAGGTCATTCAAAAGCTTAAAACCGTTGCATAAAACAGCAACGTGGAAGCGCCCTAGACATGCAAAAATGCATAAGGTAATGATGGACCTAATCATACGACACACCACTAAGCTGGAGCAGGCAGGAACAGGCATGAGGAGGAAAACACTAGGATTGGCGGAAAAAGAGATAACAAGGAGGCAAAAACACAAGGGCACAGCAAACACGACCAACACAAGACAATGAGCCAGACAATTGACCATGGTACTTAAAGGTCTCCTATCATGCAAAATTCACTTTTTGATGTCTTTTATACATATGTGTCCCTGGTGTGTCAGGGAACTCACAAAGTGTCAGAAAACAAAACCCTCTCTCTTTCCCTCTGTACCCAACTCTCTAAAAACGGGGGCACAACGGAGCTGATCCAGATTTGCGTCCGATATGATAAATTACGTCATCGGAAATGTGGACCCACGGCACTATCAGAAAGGTGCTATCAGAAGCAATGCCCGACTGTTTTGGACGTAATATGGTCTTTGTTTACATTAGCAAGCATCGCTAACACTCAGTGTAATGGCAATTTAAATGTTCCAATGTCCTATATCCTTTGCCATTACTTCACAGGAGGGTTTAGAGTGATCCAGACGCAGACACAAACAGATGATTTCCGGTCTTTTGCTGCAATTTATAATGATGTTTCTTTAGCTTTACATACCAAGGTTTAATTATACTGTGTCAAAGGTTGTGGTATGAGCATCTGCCGGGCTGGTGGAATCGGTGTGCTCTTCCTCCTGTGTCCTCGTCCTTTCCTGTCACCTGTGACCCCTTTTATACACCCAGTATAACCAGAGGTGGGAGGTGGGACCAAGTCATTGTTTTGCAAGTCCGAGTCAAGTCTCAAGTCTTTGCGCTCAAGTCCGAGTCAAGTCTCAAGTCTTTGCGCTCAAGTCCAAGTCAAGTCTCAAGTCAGGATGGGAAAGTTCAAGTCAAGTCCAAGTCCTAAACTTTGACAAAACGAGTCTTAAACAAGTCATTATGTGCTTTTCAACAAATGTAATGACATCGATCAACAGAATAATACTTAATAATCAAACTGCTCTTTATTAGTCACATTCATAATTTAATAATCCATTTTCTCTCTGCTGGTAAAGTAACGTGTTTGTCTTCTATTGTAAGAGGGATCAGTAAGGTAAGGCTACCGTGGCGGTTTGATTCAGAAGGAGTTTAATGTATAAGATCCCTGATGTTGAGGTAACCAGAATGTTTATTTCCACTGTGTACAGCATGTTATAAGGGACCCACAATCTATCTTTATGCAAGGGATAATGTGCAGCGAGGCATCTCTATGGGGATAAGAACACCTGAATCTAGATCCCTCTGCAGGTGGTACTTTAACTATATTTTGATGCTAATACTTTTGTACTTTTACTTGTAACATTTTGAATGCCGGATCTTTTATTGTAACCGAGTATTCCTACACTCTGGTACTTTTACTCAAGTACAAGATCTGAACTTCTCCCACCTCTGACAATAAATCCTGAGTGGTTACCAAAAAAAAAACCCTGCTCTGAAGGTTATTTTCATTTTACAAATCCTGCACTCAGCTTTGCTTTCTCCAATATCATTGAAATGAAGCCAGATGCTGCTTCTTTTTTCGGTTTTCGCAAATTTCTTGACTTTTTCCGACGCGCTTGCATTTAAATCCGTCTCCCCGTCTCCCCGTGGCTCTGTAGCTGGCCTGTACCACTACACCTGCTGTCTTTGGAGCATGTCAAAGTATTGAGACCTTGTAAAAATATAATGTTGGGACATTTATAAAAATGTATGTACAAGGAGATGGTGTCGATTGGACGCCAAGAACAAGGGACAGAGTGGCTTGACACTTACCCAGGGGGCAGGGACTGGCACAGGCCTAGAGTTGGGCGTGATGCTGGACATCAGAGATTCTGGGTCTCCTGGCAGCTGGGCTGGAGTCTAGCAAACTGAAAGGCAGGCTGATGGACAACCGGCTGGGCCTAGAGACAGCCTGGCATGGAAGTCATTTGGCCCTTAAAACACTTTGTTTCTTTTGTTGAATTCAGGAAGTCTGGCTGAAGCTACAAAGGAACTGTACTGTAAGAAAAACGCTGTTCAAAGTACTGCTGTCATTACTCCAGCCAATCTGATAAATAACACAACTGTTAAACACTTATACTGTAGCTGACAAAGGCACTGTTTTCATGGATGGAGCAGAAACTTCACAGCATACAAGGAGGCGGATTATTTTTTTTATAGCATTATGTAACAGGCTACTATAGTGACATGGAGGATTGTTTCTTAAAGGTCCCCTATACTCTTTTTCAACAATATATTATAGGTCTCAGATATATTCAAAAACATGTCTCTGAAGTGTTTTTCAGAAAGACCAAACAGACCATTGTAGCATCCCATAAACCCCTCTGTTTCAGCCCTGTTCCAAAAGTGCTGATTCTGTGTCTGTAGCTTTAAATGCTAATGAGCTGCTGCTGGCCACGCCCCTCTGAGAAGTGTTTGGTTTGAAAAAACACAATAGCCGCATTCACACCGGAGTACTTTTCCCCGTACTTTTCGCGTTTAGTTCCGTTAGTACCCCTTATGTCGCGTTCACACCAAAAAGAGCACTTAATCTCGGGAACTTTTACCCCCATTTTTAGTGCCTGCTGAGAGATGGTACTTTCCTGGGGGAAAAAAGTGCCCCAGTTCTGATTGGCTGGGCAAATTGCAAACCACGCCCCGTACAACTCTGAAATGTTTTGTAGAGCCGCCATTTTATTATCCTCGCATTAGCATTATTAGCATTAGCATTCGCCCAGCGCACAAACTCAGAGAGACTAACTTATGGCAACACAAAATAAAACATGGGAGCGGTGGAGATGAGGAGGTGTCGGCGTTCTGGCGATTTACTCAGAAGGCTTCAGTAGAAGCTGCTGGGAGTCCCAGCAGCTTCTACTGAAGCCAGTCCCCAACTCCGGGGACTTCCGGCCGGGTACTCCGGGTGGCAGTATACGTCGTGAAGTTGTTTGCGGCCTGCCAGTAAACCCAAAGCAGAAGAAGACGAAGTAACGTCAGCGGCTCATTTGCGTAATCTTCCCTCAGGGAAAAGTACTCCGGTGTGAACGCGATCTGTACTAAATGCCCTGGGGTAATAAGTGCCGGGGCTCTGAGTGCCGGCACTAACTACGGCAAAGTACTTGGTGTGAACACGCCTATTGGTGCCCTAGGAGGAGATTCAGGTGATAAGGTGGGGGGTGTTACCTTGGTTTGTTACTGGCTAGATGGATCAGGACAAAAAGAGAGAGAATATCTTTTCCTGAAACTTTCAGAGTCTCTTAACATTACATGTTACTTGTTAGACGCTTTTATCCAAAGCGACTAACATACTCAATACTGTGGGCAATCCCCACAGGAGCAATTTGGGGTGAAGTGTCTTGCCCAGGGACACAACGACATGCTGACTCAGAGGGGACACATGGTTATGTAGAAAATACATTAAAAAGTGGATTTTGCATAATAGTGAGCTTTAAGTGTCAGAATCTGAAATCCTTTTATCCGTCACACCACAGGGACATTTTAGAGTAAAGAGGTAAGAGCAGATAAAATGGCAAATACAATAACTAAAACTAACGTAATACAATAAGAGTTGGGCCCATATTTATAAAATCAAATAAATACATACATAATTAAAAAAAAATGTTTAAAGAGTAACAGCAGTATGATTAATGTATTAGAAATTAACAATGGTATTGCACATCAGTGATATTACTTAAAATATCTCATAACGTCCAGTAGATTAACCTCTATGTTATCATCGACCAAATCTGTGTTAAACATTAACCACCGACTTAATTAAAACTCACAATAGGTTTTTCTCATATTTTTACATATTGTCAATACAGCTCATTTACAATAAAAAAAACAACGTATTTTATGGGAAATCTCATAAATAGAAATGTATGAGATTTCTCATAAGATAGATCATTTTTCATAAGATAGATCATTTTTTGACTATAGTTAAGATCAGAGGATCATAACACAAACTGGTATACATGTTTAATGCCATACCTTTGAGCATCTCTGTTTAAATTGCATCACAAAAGCGTCACTTCCACTCAGCTGTATGTTATCAAAAGGATCAGAAACTCAGTTCTGCAACTCAGTTTCACTCCACTACCAAACAGCACATTCCACACCAAATTCCAATCCTCTTTAAATTCCTAACCTCTATGAAAGCAGGGCTTGTTTGGATTTCCTGACATTGTGGAGCCACTCCTGCTGCGGAGATCTGGGTTACATAAGTAAGCTTTTGTTTGCCTACACACACAAATGCCCTCAAATGAACAGAAATGACAACAGAACAAAGCGTTCAATAAAGTGAAATGAATGTGTCATTTTCCACCTACTGACCGACTTTTTTTCACCCCTTGAAGGACAATTTAGTGATTTAGGTTATGCCCAAAATCATTTTTGTATTCAGTTATGAGATTTCCATCGTCCCCCCACAATCTATTAGTTTTGCGGTTAATATTTTGTAATGCTTTTTATCACTCTCAAGACCGTAGGAAACCATCTGCTCTCACATTACGAGGCTCTGGGGCTAAAACCTGTTCACCAGTAGATGGCAGTAATGGCTTTTATGTGTGCAATAGATCAAGGTTCAAGGTTCTTTATTGTCAAACAGATGCTGAGGATAACAGAGACAAAGAAACTCAAATGTTTCCTTTTTCTGTGTTGCAATGAAATAAAATCACCTTGGTGGAAGTCCTTATTTAGTGTGTGTTTCACAAGCATGGAGAAAAACTAGGATCCCAGTAACCCTCTGCCCTGTTTATTCGTGTACAGCTGCAGCCTGGAGATTTAGATCGTATGCCACGGATTGGATACCATGGTGAAGAGAATATTAACTTTTCATTAGGGTCGTCTTAGCTAAATATTTTATTCGAGTCAACATCATAATAACACTCCAAATTCATTCATATTAAGGCATTACATTTTCTCAAATAAAATGGGCTGCCATGACTCGACCACTCATCAACATTGGTACCTAAGAGAGGAATTTAAGAACAAGTAAATGCCACAAGTTGTCCTGAACTACTCATACAGGTCATGTGGTTCCCTTATGATAAATAAGCAAAGACACAGATAGTAATGCATTTGTGATTCTCAGCAGCGGCATAACTCCATCATGACTTCACAGAGCTTAAAACAATATTGTTAAAGTATATTTTAGGAATGCCAGAGATAACTAAACGTGGTTAGAGAGCAGACCTCTGAACTAAACTAATGCATCTCCCAAGTCTTAGCAGTCAGACTGTGCAGCCAACTGATAGCAGCAGAAGCTGAGCTAATCCAATATACAGTGTGATGGATGTGACAACCAAAATGATAAGAAATAACAAAGTACACTGTGGTACGGTGGCCGACAGGTGCAAAGGCAATACAACAGCCCAAACATTTCCATAAAGAACAATGCAAATATGAAAACACAAACGTGCCAAAACACATGCAAATGAAAAGAAACATCTTCCCAAACTTGACAACAGATGCACATTTACTAAAAGTGCTGCATAAATGAAACACTGCAAATACAAAACGCTGCAAGAAGCTCAAAACACAACTGAAACGGTGAGACTAAGAAATGATGCACACAGCTGGGACCCTTGTTGACGTTCAGGGATTATACACATTTTGTCTGTTTCATAACTGTACGCGTTTTGTCAGTATTTCTGAAATGACTAGGTTAGCTAGCTAGCTTACTGCAGATCTGCAATAGTTTTGTATTTGCAGCGTTTTGTTTATTGAAGCTAAACGTTGCACATTTTCCTTGAAGTTTGTGAATGTTTTCTAAGCTGCATGTTTCTCTGAATGCAAATGTTTTAGGCCGTTGTAGCTCGTTTGCACCCGTCAGCCACTGTACTTTGGAACTTAACAAACTTCACCTCCTACTGCTGATATCTCAGATTCAGTATTTAACAATATTGCATCTTTGAATGTTAATATCTTAATAATAGTGTTTAATAACTTGTTCTGTTTACTCCTGCTCACAAATGACTAATTTAAGGGCGATAATTAAATAAACAAGGTGCACAAAATACTCATTTCTGTCCACCAATAACTTTCCGGTATAAATTGACAGACAGCTGTAACAAACTCATGATGATTGAGGAAATGCTAACAGCTAACAGGAACAGATGTGGGCTGTATCTTGCCTTCCTACTTACATTCTGCAGTGGCCTCATATGATAACTTTGTGTATAAATAACTACCACTGGCTGATGATAATTACAGATACGTGTTAAATATATGTTTCCCGACAATTTGAAGGAATCTGCTCATTGGCACCATTCAGAGAGTCTAACAGGCATTTGGAGGTGAGGACACACTGCTGCAAAATGTTAGGGGCCTAAGGGCTCATGTGATGGTGTCGATGCCTTCCAACAGGGACGAGGCTGCTGCACACAGATAAACACAATTGGCAAGGGCAAAAAGAAAAGGCTAATTCACGGCACATACAGTAATTCATTACAGCACAGTGTCATGTGATCTACGGAGGAGGATTAGGGCCACATGTGGATTTTGTTTAGAAATCTGACCAAAAGTGATTTTCTTTTAGTACTGAGAAAAAAAGTCAAAATTCAACAAAGAAAGTCAAAATTCTGCAAAGAAATGCCAGACTTTTCTCAGAATTTTAACATTTTCAGAAAGTAATAAAAAAAATATGACTTTTTTTCCTTTTGAAATATGAGTCATAATTCTAAGATTTTTTTAAATACTGAGAATTTTGACTTTTTCTTAAAATGTGTGAGATTTTCAGAAAACAAGTCAGATTTATGACTTTAATCTTATAACTAAAGAAAAAACAATCACTTTTTGTCAGATCTAAAAAGACTTTCACGTGGCCCTAATTATTTTCCGTATGAATCTGATCCCAGTGAAGCTATTTAAATGCAAAGGTTTCTCTGAAATGAGGGACAATCAAACGTCCCGAGGTCCAGTGTCCAGTAAAAGGGTGGACAGACAGTCCTGTCCACGTGACAGCAGCTGCAGTGTGGACAGCAGCGGCTCGTGCACTCAGTCTCTGTCCCTCCACTTAGTCGTGCACGAGGATGGCCCTGAGTCCCGGCACTCTCCCCCACTCCCCCCCGTCAGTACAGGCTCCAGCCTCGCTCATGCTGGGGGTAAAGTGATGCTGAAGAGCCGGGGGGGGAGGTGGTGAGCTCCCTGGGGCCGAGCTGCTTTCCACACACACACATTCAGTCCAGCTTCTCCTTCTGGACCAGCCTTGGAGCATCTACAAAGTCGGGTCCGTTAAAGAGGATGAGGCCGCTGGTCACCACGCTGGCAGACCCCCAGAACAGCACGTAGGCCAGGGTCTCCGTCCACGTTTCACCTAACAGGGGACAACATGCAGAGTCAGTGGGAGACATTTGAAGAGCCGCTATTGTGCTTTTTGGGGTTTTCCCTTCCCTGTAGTGTGTTATAGGTTTGTGTGCATGTACATAGTCAGCAAAGGCTCCCTGTGTTCCCTCCAGAGGGAGTTTCTCTCCCTCTCTCCCTCTGTGTCAATGTATCCTCTGTTCATTAGTGCACACATTGTATTTAGCTTAATGTAAAGATAAATAAACCCTGGTGTTGTTATATTTGTAGTGTATGTATGAAAATGCCTTTGAGTTGGATTTGCCGTTTGTCTTACCAGCCATCAGCAGGGAGATGATGCACATGGAGAAAGCTACCACCATGACGATAGGCAACTAGAAAAGGAAAGAGAGACTCGTTAAACACATCGCAAAGAGACATAAACCCATCACTCCACCTCTGTGAGCCTTTCTTACCGTCAAGAACTTCCAGTCTTTGGGCTCACGCAGCGGAGTGGTCCAATCAGATTCATCCACAGCATAGTTGCCCAGGAACAGATCAATGGAGTCCTGCACAAAACAGACAACTGTTACCTACTCTTCTTAGCTTTTTGCAGTTGAGTGCATCTCTTAAGCCCTGTGATTATTCAGACATTCAGATGTCATATCAATCCGCAGAAAGAAGTCTGGTCAATTTTGGTCAATTTTGGTCAGCTGTGGCCCAAAGAAATGCCTGTTGGATACTTTATGGGCTCTGGCAGTGTTTAAAGAGTGCTTAATGGAAAATAAAAAGTGAACAGATGTGGACAGTTACAGGAAACCTTCATTGATGCGGTCATTTGAAGTTATGTTGCTACGCAGTTGAAAGGGCTATATTTGCTTAGCAGAAACAATACAATCGTAACTTGTTTATGTAAGTCAAATCAATGATGTATTTGGTAAATAGCCGTGTAATAAGCGAGTTTAATATGGCGGAGTGGTAAACACAAAGACTTATCCACACATGTTTGGACCCACCTGTCTATATCCATCAGAGAAGTTGTTCTTGTAATATCGGATCATGGAGTTCCAGCCGTCCATCACCAGCCCCCAATGAGTCCTCTTCCCTGTCCTGAAAGATCACCATGTAGTTCAACACCAAACTGAATTCTCTATTGACCAACATCTCTGTGCACTTTTCTCATCAGAGTAAGAAAAACATCCTCCTCCTCCTCGATGCTACTAGCTTAAAATGAGTTAGCCTAATCAATAGAATAAATAAAACCATGCGAACAATCAGTTACTGTCTGTTGAACATTAAAGGGGGACTGCCTGCTAAAATGCTTTGTTATAGAGTACAAATATTTCAGAATCCTAACTAATCCAATGGAGGTATTTCAGGTCCTTGTGGTAGATTTTGAAATATGATTTGATATCTGACCTGGTGAAGTCAGTCTTCAGGGCTCCAGTGCCAGCGTACTGCTTGGCACAGGCATCAGCGTTGTCTGCCCAGGCTGCATGAGAACAGGAAGAGAAACAGATCAAGCTTACATCTAGGACCTTTAATGTAGGCGAGCCACTGTTGTGTGAGGTGGGGGGGGGGGGGGGCTACCATTCTTGAACATCTTCCCAAAGGCCACCTGCTCTTCGATCTGCTGACCGACGTGGAGGACTCCCATTTTCTGTAGGCACACACACACATTTGAGTTGAGTCAGTTCATTAGCTGTTAGTGCAACACTTCCTACAAGTTCACCTGTATATACTATTTATATGTCATATGCTTATTCTTATATTATACTATACAGTACATTACTTTGCACTTTACTGCTTCTGTTGCACTTCTGGTTAGAAGCGAACTGTATTTCGTTGTTTCAGTACTTGAACTCTGTGCAACGTCAATAAAGTTGAATCTAATCTCAAAATCCAGTTCAATTAAAAACCAGACTTTCTTATTGAATTTATAAGAAACCACCTAATAGTTGAATAGTTTGCAATAACGTGTCCAAAGAATCACAAACTAACAACAACTAATCAGAAATCAAGTTAAATGTCCATTTTTGTTTGACAAATTAATATTTACACTGAAAAATGATAGAGTGGAGAAGTTGGACTAGACTGTTTCTATGTCTTTCACTCTTTCTCCACTGGGATGCATTGCAACACAGATTCAAGTGTCCTCCATGTGCTCTTGTTCCTGTCATTATGTCCACCTCCTAAAGCGTTATGGGTGTAGTCTGTGGTTGCATGTACCCGGAGCTGTGACTGCAGGGCGCGCTGGGCCAGCATGCTCTGGATGACGTTGGTCCGGTCCAGGCAGTCCATGCAGTTGCTGCGAAACGTGCCGTCCTGATGCAGCAGCACCTTCCCATCTGCGTCCACCAGGAAGTATCTGCATCCACACACACAGCATTACTTCTGATGCAGAGTGCATACATATCTACCTGGTTAGTGGCACACGCAAACTGACCCAAGTTCATCCTGCATCTCAGCGACCATATCCAACAGGATCTGCAGGCGGTGCCACCTCATCCGACTGCACTCCTTATGGAAGTCAAAGGCGATGTACCTGCAGAAAAGGCAAGACTATAATATACTACAAAATATAATGAACTCAACTAAGCAACGTGTTGTCAGTAGGAGGCCACATGTGGGCTGCCGGTCATCTTACTTGACCATGCCGTTTCCCAGGTCGGCCACCATCTTGTTGAAGGCCAGCTCCAGCGGCTTCTCTGAGCCCTTTTGGTTGATCTGTGAAAAAAAACCAAAGACAAACAAGCATTAATGGGTATATCATAGTCGTTGTATTACACACTACAGGAAAGGGAAATCCCAAAAAGCACAATAGGGCCTCTTTAATTCATTTGACTGCTTCTTTGTAGTCAGGGAAGGATTGAAGAGTGTAAACCAACATCTAGCTGGCACATTGACTTCATAAAAGGAAAGTAACACAACTGATAGAATCAACACACACACGTGATTATTATTCATCTTACCAAGTTCAAAATGACTTGTTTTCCATAGAGAATAACCTGCGAGTCAAAGTGTCTCTGGAACCCGTCCAACTACAGAAGAGCAGAGAGAAGAGAGGCTGAGTGACAGATGAAGAGACTGTGAGGTCTGGTTGCGTCTCGTGTTGCTGTGAGGTCAGCTTACGTGGTTCACTGTTTTGCTGATCTGTGGTTTGGGCTTGTACTTGAGGTTGGGTCTCTGGGACCAGAAGAAGGGGATGGAGCCTCTGGTCTGTGGGGAGAAACATATCATCATCCTGCTTTCATGAACTCAACACACATTTAACCAAGTAAAGTTTGCAGCTTTTCATCTCAGCTTCAGCTTCAGCTGTGTGGAAAAGACTGTGAGGTATATGAAATATGAAACTCATATCAAGGTGGATAAACATACTGAATTAGCACAAACTGAACACATATGGTTTGCAAAGTATGGTATCATGTTTAGGGTTGGGAGCCCAAACTAGAACCGATACCAATTGCCTGGTACCTGGTGCTCAAAGAAAGCAATTTAATGATGGTTTTGCCTATCAGTTAGTGAGACAGACTCTGGCAGAGGAAAGTCAGTTTGGCCTCTATAGAGCAGGGGCTAGAAGGTTACTTTTTGAATTAAATTCTGATGTCCTTACTTTTGCAAACAGCAATCTGGCAGCAGACGGGTGTTTACTACACAACATGTGTTGGATATACAAGCAGTGTATGGTTGGACACTGGAGGAGACCGGGGGAGTTGCACATTGTCAAGTTGCACCTCTTAGAACTAACTTGGATGAAGTGATTCGTGAATGTACATTTTAGGGTTTCATAATTATAATTTTTCTTCTGTGAAATATGCATTTGAGTTTTTACCTTCACAAAACACAGAAATAAAGAACTGAAAGGAACCTAAATCGATAAGCAGAACCGAAATCGGAAGAGGAATAGTTCAAATCCAAACGATACCCAACCCTCATGATATGAAAACAAAACGTTGACATGACATTTGAAAGTGTCTTGACTGTTGTTCTTCACTGAACCCTTACTAGTTGAATCCTTCACTTCTTCCTTACAGCAGACTACCCCTCCTCTCTGGCTCACCTGAACAAAAGAAGCCTTGGAGCTGTTGAACTGAACGATCTGCTCCGTCTCCACGTAGTTAGCAGGATGGCCTTCAGAGTCGATGCCTGCACACAGAAACACACATAATGCAGGAGAAGCTTCTCACTGACTGGGTTGGCTGGGTATACAATTATAGCAGCAGGTAATATAAACATACATCTAAATGTATCAGAAATACTGACATTGAAATAATATGTCATGATGCATTTTCTTTGCTACAGATTTTTCTGTACACGCAGCGTGTCATCCGCTCTGCAGAGAAGGTGATCGGCTGCAATCTGCCATCCCTCCATGACCTGCAGGCCTCCAGGACCCTGAGGCGGGCAGGGAAGATAGTGGCCGACCCCTCCCACCCTGGACACAAACTGTTCACCCCCCTCCCCTCTGGCAGGAGGCTGCGCTCCATCAGGACCAAAACCTCTCTCCACCTGAACAGTTTCTTCCCCTCTGCTACCGGCCTCATCAACAAGACCCGGCCCCCCCACTGACACTTTACCTCTGCCACATCATAGATTATATGCATTACATTAATGCACACACAATGTACAACATTATTTTGTATTACAGCTGATTTGTATTCCATATTTTATTCCTCTATTTCATTCCATTGCAATGTAAATACTCTTATATTTTACTATATATTTTGTATTATTTTAAATATTTTCTAGTTCTCTTCCTGTGTTTTTAATTCTTGTTTGTATGCACCACGACACCAAGTCAAATTCCTCGTAGGTGTAAATTGATTCTGATTCTGATAACTAGTTTTTGTCCTGTCATAAATAAGCTGCACATTTCCAGTATGTTGGAAGACACAGAGACACAGAAAAGGTGTTACCTCGGACGTAGTAGCGGACTCCGGCTCTGAAGCAGCTCCTCCTGGAGATGATGCTCCACTCGAACACCTTCCCATTGATGCAGCTCGACCGCATGTCGATGACTGCTCAACAAATGTGTCAAGAAACTCACATGCAAAATCAAGGAGCGCTATTCACATTAGAAAATCGTTCCCAGAAATCTTGCTGTTTTTCTTCATCTGGGCACGAAATACCCTTCTATCAACAAAGTGCAGAAGCCAGACTTCTAAAAGAATAACCAAAAGAGCCCAACTTATTAAAGGCTTTACTTATGTTGAGATGGGCCCAGCATGCAGGTTCTCACACTCCTTCACTAAAACAGAAATGTGCAGTGAAAGTGTGTCAGTCAGACAGCAGCAGGGAAGGATACAGCCATGGATAACAGGAAACACAAACTTGTGTACCTGGAAGATAAGAGCAGTGTCAGACATGATATGCTTTATTTGACTGAACTAGAGGAAATACAATGTTACCAATGTTACCTATGTTACCTTTGAGATGTTCTTACAGTCAGGATTAAGCAGGCAATATTTTGCTTTATTTCCAATGTCTCCCTATCAAGGCCGACAAGCCTTCTCCACCAATAACTGAGCAACTCACCAGAGGTTACATGTTGTTGAGGAAATACAGATCTAGAACTGCTGTTGCCTGGGCTACAAGGGCAGAATAACAAACTGACGGGTACATGAGCCATTTAACACTAGAACCGCCAATCGGGTCAATTTGACCCAGAGCTGTTTTTTTATTGTGTGTAACTTTTTTTCAATAAAATATTAAAGTCTTCCAGTCCGTGACTTTTCCTGAAATTGTGTTATGTAGCACCCTATGTTGTTAAAAATTGTCAATATGAAGTCAGATTGAAGAAATCGCCCAAAAAATTGCCATTTATACCTATTTCCGCCAAGCGAGTCATATTGACCCCACCCCTTTTCATATAAACATGACGTGTTGCTATAGCAATGCCTTTTGTCTACTGCGGTTCCTCCTTATAGATTGAGAGAGAGATTGAGAGATTGAGAGAGAGATAGAGAGATAGAGATAGAGAGAGAGAGAGAGAGAGAGAGAGAGTCTGTAGTCCGCTCACGGGAGACTGCTCGCGCTGCGCTCCGCAGCAAACAGCTGTGGGGCGAGTTGAAAGTACGTTATGCTGGCCGCGGTGTCTAAATAATGCTTCCGGGCCAGCGGGCCATTTATAATGTCGAGCCCTGAGAGTCCACAGATTA